TATTGATAAGAAATACTAATTGCTGCGTTCGACTTGGAAAAATAGATGCCATTCTTAACAGGAAACATTGTACAGCTTCTCTCAGTTCTGCCAATAATTGAGTTGTCCCCTCGCAAGGAAAACCTTCGACTACACTTACAATTGCGGCGCTAAACTCCGCGTATCTTCTAGTAATCTAAAAATTCATAATTATATAAAAGATTAACACATACATATTTCAATATTATACAGTAATCAAATGCCATTATAAACGATCCATTGTATTTGAAACACTTACATAATGTGGACCAGTCTCTTTATTGAATTTTGACGGGTCGCAATCTTTTACACTATTTATATTTAATTGAAACACAAATTCAAATCTAAAAAGCAAATATAATTTTACACACACACACACACACACACACACAAAAATTGTAATGTTACAAATTAATAAAATAATTATTATTGCAATTATTTTTAAATATGTTCAAGTACCTAGGCCAAATTGTGCTAGTTAAAGTTTCCCAGTATTTATCCAATGCTGGTACAGCTCTTTTATGACATATTAATTGATAACGCATCACTAAATGTAGGCAGAGAAATAGAGCAATTGTATCATAACAATCCTCAACAAATGATTGCAAGTTCTTTATCATAAGGCTTAACGTTTTCCCCATAATCTGTCAAGAGTAAGGAATTTAGTTTTAGTACATTTACTCTCTCTCTACTTAGTACATGTATTTACTTACTATCTATCAAATTATTAAATATGGCTCTCTTACCTGATTGAAAATATCTAACGCCTGTGCATTACGGACCTTGAAAAATTCAATCAGGAATAGATATTCTCTGCAAGCATTATCAACCAAAGCATATTGTTCACTTCTGAACAGAGCTTCGTAATGATACTGTAAGATTATAATACTAATTTAAAAAACATTGAAGAGTACTTAAGTTATAATAGTTATATCATTGGTATATCATATTGTGTCCAGTAAAGATCATAACAACACTAAAGAATTGCCTGAGTTCATTTTGAAACAAAAATCCTAATACCAAAATGTATCGAGGCTATATATACCATAATAGATTGAATTATAAGCAAATCATATTTCTTAAAGTTCGCACAAATGTAGTACAATGTAAAATTCCAACTGTATTTAAATGTACAAACTTGAGATGATATGATTTGCTAACTTTAAATGCTTTTAATTAAAAGGCTATTATAGCCTCGATATTTTGTATGAATTTTTGCATCAAAATGATCTCAGGAATCTATCCTTAAGGATTGTTGTGGTCTTTACTAGACTTGTATATATCATTAATACTTACTCGTGTTTTAGAAGCTGTGTGTGGGATAATTATAGGTGTTTCCAATTGAGAAGTCAAAACCTGACCCCTTGTATCTATGGAAAAGACAGTACCTTTGTGCTTTAACGTTGTTTTATGAAAAAGACCTCTGCCTGCTGTATCTTCGACTCCCATTAAATCATCCTTTGTCGCTCTCTCTTCAAACTGAGAAAAGTAATTTTATTGTAATTTGATATTTCAACTTATTTACATAAGATCATTTTTTCTCCATTTCTACCTGTAATTTCATCAACCTTGAAGAATAAGACTTGAAATACGAGTAACATATTTTACTCATAGTGTCAATATACTCTCCACAAATTTCCTCAGCCACATTTCTCTCGTTTGCCAAAATAAATTCAAAGAAAAATTTGTATTTTAACATGTTGTTCTGCGGCACTTGATAATTCGTCATTGGCTTCCTAAATTTATAAATTTGTTCTAGCAAATATGTCCTAATCTTTGCCATTGCTTTTACTTTCAGCTTCTCTAATATATCCTTTACATCTAAACAAGACTTGGCTTCCTTAAAACTTTGTTCCTTCACAAAATTGATTTTGTGATTGAGAGTTTGCAGATGAATCAAAAATTCCTTTTCAGTCACTGGACAGTCCATAATACCACTGTAAGAAAATTAATATAATTAAATATACAAAAATTCAATTTAATATAAAAATTGATACACATTTGATGAGTTTATTTTTAACATTCTCTTATAAAATGAATAACTTCTTACGAAATCAGGGTCTCAGACACTGTCATATCTTCAATAAATTGACTAAGTGGACCTCGTATTATTTGTCTATTAGACAGCTGTTGGCTCATAGCAACAGACTTGCGTTGCAAAGAAATTATCTCGGAACTTATATTTCCTAGAACTGACTGGAAGTTCATCAACATTGACTCCATTTTCTGTAAAAAGTAATGAAAATCTGCGTCTAAATGTCTTTCTGAAAAAACTTTGCTTGATTAGTAATATTACTTTGCAAAGACAAATTATTAAAGTAGATTATACAAACACATTTAATACATACATCAAATGAGATACTAGTAAAGACTATCTACTTTAAAAATGTCAATGTTATTAACTATCAATATAAGTTTTCGAATGATCTAAACAGTATTAAATGTACAATTTACTATTATATGCTTGCTAAAAATATAATATATATATATTTTTTTTTATAGCGCAATTAATTATATACATTGCTGTAAAATTAAATTATCACTCGCATAAATAAATCAATTTTCCTCTCCTAAATGTTAATAATAAATAATTATAATTTTAAATAAAAGTGAAATATTATTGAGTCATAAATATGTACATGTACATGTTTATAAAATAAGGATAATAATAAATCATAAAATTAATATTATGTTATACATAATTATATAAATATATATTCAATTTTCTAAATTTTAATTCTTTCAAAAATTAAAATTTAGAAAATAAATTATCTAATAAATTTCCAGAAGACTGTCGGTTTTTAATAGTATTTTATCAAGATATGATTTTGCATCAAATCACACGTCATCAACATGTCATCCGATGCAACAGTGAATTCTAACCTAACCTAACCTCCAAGATATTATCACAAGCAGCGATTTGATTGTGCAGGCTAGCTATATTCTCGCTCTCCTTGATGTAATCCTGAATTGACTTGTTCTCAACTTCCTTGAGCTCCTTCTCGATCTGCCTGGAATACTCGCGCAGGTCGGTGCCAGTCTTGAGGACTTCCTGGACAACATCGTCGCCCAGGTCTTGTGGCAATTGCTCTTCATTGTCAAAAATATCTATCTCAGCCATTCTCGAATCCTTCCATGCAATTGCAACGCAACTGCTAAATACAACACGATTTAATATACAACTCGATGTATACAATTCAATTACACAACCTAGCAATCGCTTCCTTTACTCTGTAGAGATGTCTAAAGAGCAAGAAAGCTTCAATCGCGTCTAACCTCAAAAATATCAAAGATTGTCAACACATCCTAAAACGATTCCAAGCAGACCAAGCTTAGCTCCAATTTCTGCCAAACGGATAACTAATAACATGGTCAGCGTCACGTGGCTCGTCCAATGAGCGACGCGAGCGACCACGTGATCCACGTGACCACGTGTGCGATAACTCCCTAGTTTAGTTTGTTTTCGACCTAACCAAAATTGATCCAAATTCTCCGTTCATCCGTATCGATTTAACGAACTTTGTATTTAGTTTTTTTTTCTTTCAATGTGACCTAAGATAGCAAACGTTCACGAAATTTTCGACGCGGCTTTCCAGTCGGGGATTTCCAGTTCATGGGAGATCATTTTTAACTCTTGACACATACGTAGAAAGTACAAGCTTTATCTGTGATCTGCTCTTTTGTAATCTATCTTTTTTTTCCGATTGTGTTCCGCGTTAGATACGGCTGTGATCCATATAGCGTCGATGACTCGTTCAATCGCAGTCGTGTCCGAGTGCTCGGGAGTTAAGAAATTCATGAAGAAGGCCAAAAGTGGATTTTGCTACAAGCATCATGGTAACACGTACAAAAATGATCAAAAACGTGGCGTGCACAGAGCGATTTTCTTGTCAAACGAAACGTTCATTGCTCGTTATGATGAATTAACGGAACTTAGCGCGCAGCTCGCAGCTAATCTCAAGATTTCCAAGAGTCTTCAGTCCAAAAGAAGAAACACAAAATACAACGAGATCATAACAGTTAGAACTGAGAAACAAGCCATAAATTTCTCAAATGCTGTGCAAGATGATACGAATCCTACGCAACTTGCAAGCAGTTCTCAGGCTTCCTGGAGTTCTAAATTGGAAGCAAAGAACACGAAGCATAATACAGCACCGAAATATAAAAAGTCTGTGAAAGAAAAAAAGAAAGGTGATAGAACAGTGTCAGATAACAGCAAAGACAGGACTAAGAATTTAGTTAAAAATCAGGTTGGATATATCTTATAACACATATCTTTTTCTAATCTTATCTATTATCATCTGAGGAATATTGTTCTTGTTTATATAAATATTTTGCAACATAGGCAGTCATTGGTCTTTGTCTACAGAATGTTTATTTTCTCTTAATCACCTCTTTTATCTTTTCAGATCAAATTAAAAATATGTTCAGACAAAAGATCTGATGGGGCACAGATAATGATAAAATCAGTTTTCGAAAAAATTGATTTTTATAATCATATAAAAGTTTTTTTTAATGGAATTGTTACTTTTTATGTAATATGATTTTTCTCTGATTATTCTGTATATTAAAGTATTAAGGTAGAAATGTCAAGAAATCAATAGTTTCATACTGGCATATTTTAACATAAAATATAAAATATCTCGTAATTATTCATTTTTTGATAATCGTACCTTAATACTTTTATACATAGAAGACTTTTCAAAAAAATTGATTTTTTTTATTTATACCTGTCAGGCTATATAACTTTTGTCTGATCATATTTTTTATACGACCTTATTCTGCAAAGATAAAAGGGGATGATCACGTTAAGTGGAGTACTCTAGGTAGTAAAGCTTATAAAACTATTTTACTTTATTACTTTATTAACAGTAATCATTTGTCTATTAGGTCAATACTCAACATGATAATAAAGAAAAATATTTGAAATTAACAAGGGAAAATACAAAAAACAAGGCAGAAATAGAAAACAAATCAAATACAGAGAATGTATTGAAAAAAATGTGTAGCGAAGAAATAATGAAAAGCGATGCAAAGAAAAAAAAGGGTACAAGGAAAACATTCAAGAGGATATTTTCAAATTATATACCTGTGTCAAAAATGATGAATATTTTAAAAAAACAATCATTCAATGATACACAATATGTAAAAGGGAATCTCCGTATAAATCCTTTTGCTTGTAAATACGCTTATATAAGTATGACTAATGAAGAACGCGACCTGCTAATCATAGGTATATCGAATAGAAATCGTGCTTTTGAAGGAGATCTAGTTGTGGCATGTGTAAACCCTGAAAATTTGTGGCGTACTTCATCTGATGGAGAAGTACAAAAGACTGGTAAAATTGTTTGTATATTAGAGAAAGTACATTCAAGACGAGCAATCGGATATATTATACAGAAACATGATTCGCTGCTGTTGTTTCATCCAAGGGATCATAGAATACCATTAGTTGAGATACTTCCTGAATCAGTACCACCTTCATTTCGCGATCAACCAGAACTTTTCAAAGACATGATGTTTTTTGTTAGTATTGATTTGTGGGAGCAGCTACATGCATTTGGGTAGGCATATGTACTGTATTGTGCAATACACATATCTAATATATAAAATAATGTTATAATTTTAAAGTTATATTATGATAAATTTATATTGATATTTCTGTCTTCTGTTATTGCTGATTATCCTTATGTTATATACATTATATTATTTACAGGCGAGTTCTTTCAGTGGTGGGTAAATATGGCGAAATAAATACGGAATTAACAGCAGTAATACTTGAAAATGATTTAGATTTGTCTCCATATCATGAAAGCCTATTGAAAGGACTTCCAAGTAGTGATTATATTTTAACGGACGCTGACATGAAAGATAGAGAAGACTGGAGGCACGAGTGCATTTTTTCGATAGATCCTGCAACAGCTATTGATTTAGATGACGCCCTTTCTTGCAAAATCTTGGACAATGGAAACTATGAAGTAATTGCGATATATTAAATTTGGCTATAACATATGAAGGCATCTAATAAATCATTAATTTCAGATTGGTGTACATATATCAGATGTCACGCACTACTTAAAATTTTCCTCTCCACTAGATAACGAAGTTTTGAAACGAGCTACTACCGTTTATCTGCCACACATGACTTCTCATATGTTACCAGAGGCATTGTGTAAAGTTTGTTCCTTATTTTCTGGCAAAGATAAATTAGCCTTTTCCGTAATCTGGGAAATGACACCAGAGGCCAAAATTGTGAAATACCGTTTCGCGAAAACTGTAATAAGATCGTGTTGTCAAATGTCCTATGAATCGGCTCAAGCTATGCTCGACGATCCAGAAAAGTCTTGGCCCAAAGATTTCCTAGACATAAAAGGAGACTATACTATATCGTTATTGTCTGACCTAGTGAACAAATTATTTAAATTATCCACTCAGTTGCAAAACAAACGATTTGATCATGGGGCTCTAAAATTAAATAAACCAACGTTACAGATACGTATAGATCCCGTGCTGAGTCAAGAACACGGGATTCCGATACCTGTAGACTATTATGTATATGAAAGCACCGATAGCCACAGGTGGATTTTTCAGTTATTAATATTTACTGATTTTGACATATTATTACATTATTACTTAAACATATTATTACTTAAATTATGAAGAAATTAATTTTGTTTTTAATTATCAATTACCTATTTTAAATGTATTTTAGTCTTATAGAAGAATTTATGCTGTTGGCAAATATGACAGTCGCCACGCAATTGTATGTTGCAATTCCCAAAACGGCTTTGTTACGTATGCATAAAGATCCGTCCAAGCAATGTCTCAGTTCACTTCATGTTATGTTGCAAAAATATGGAATTCATTTGAATATCGAAACAGCTGGCGACTTACAGGCCAGCATCAGTCGCTATGAACCAGAAAATAACTCTGTCACGGTCGATTTCATGAAATATATTACAATGGTTATCATAAACCTATGTTCAAAGACTATGGCAGTAAGAATTTTTATTTTTCTTGTCATATAATTTGTAAACATTATACAATAGAAATAAATAGCGAGGGAGAATTTGTAATTTGATAATTCTGTAATATTGAAAATTTCAATCTTCAGCGTGCAGAATACATATGCGCATCTACCACTTCGCCGTATGATTTAAAACACTATGCATTAAATGTGCCTCTTTATACGCACTTTACCTCCCCTATTCGAAGATATGCCGATTGCACAGTTCATCGTTTGCTTAGTGCGACGCTTGAAAATAAACCTTTACCAGAAAAATGGACGGTCAAGTTGTGTTCCAAGTACGTTAATGATGATATGAAAGCAATATGAAAGCAGAATATAACAAAAAATTTCAATAAATAACTTTTACTTCAATTTACAGGATTGCAGCCAAATGCAATCTAAAGAAATATAGTGCGAAACTGGCTTGCGAACAGAGCACGGAGGTATTCTTTGCATATATGGTAGGTCTTGCAGGCGGCTTTACTACGATAGCTACTGTATTATGTGTCAAGGCAGACTGTATAGAAGTTATTCTTTGTGACACTGGCATAAAATTAAAAATAAAATTTAAAGATCTAGAAGACGTTACCACATCGAAGTATTCCGCAGATCATGTACCAACTGTAATTGTTAATTGGAAGGAACCTCCTATTGTACAGGTATTACCCTAATAATACATCATAATTACCCTAATATTTTATATAGTGTAATAACAAAATATATTATCAATACGGTTATTTTAATTACATTATTATATCTTACAACTATCTATTTTAGGTAATCAATTTGTTTAATTTGGTGCATGTACGGATAACAAAAAGTGAAGAATTACGTATAAAAGCAACTCTTTTACCTCCACCACAACAGTAGACAGATCTAGAAAGAGAGATTTCTAATTAATTTTATAGTCATCGACTATGATTTGTGACGAAATTATATGTATGACAAGAATTTTCTAATAATTTATGAATATTCATGTATATATGTGTGCGTGTGTATGCGCGTGTGCGCGCGTGTGCATGCGCGCGTGTGGTGTATGTGTGTGCGTGTGTGCGCGCATGCGTGCGTGGAGAAACATTAATTGTACATAAAAATAAACAGAGCTTAAAAACAAAATAATAACAATAAAGGACTACAAGCCAAGTTGTAGTCCTACATAATTGTGTACTAATCGTTATGAAATAGAATACATAATAATTATTAGATGATAAAAGCAATGACAAATTAATTAAACTAAAGATATAATTTTTATACAAACAAAACAATAAAATTAATAAAAAAAAGATTCATAGGCAATCAAAGGTTAACGCGGTTATTAATGTGTAAAGAATTCAATGATATTAATAATTAAACATCCATATAATGGTTAATTATAATACAGAAGCTTCCGAATGTTACATAATAATTATAAAATAAAATACAAACATTTCGATTTTTATTAGATCATCTTCAGTGTACACGTAAATAGTTCAATTGAAAAATAACAGTAAAGCTGTCTACATAGTATAACGTAATAAATGGATCGTGTTAGTTTTTCTTCAGTTTTATGCTCGTGATAATTGGGTCATGAATTACTTAATGATTTGAGCTGTGTCAAAATTCCGGAGGAATTTATACACACACATATTTAAATGCATATGTAACTATACTTGTTACAAATTTTGCAAACAGTTTTAATATTTTAAAGTAATTGATTTATAATAATGCGAATTTTGTTATATGTTTAATCATTGGAAATCGTTTATGTGTCACTAAAGATGTCACTGAAGATTACCTAATAGAGACCGTTTTATTTTATTTTATAATGATTAATACACAATTATATAACACTACAATCTAGCTTAACTTGTAATCTATTATTGTTATTACTTTGTATTAATTGTATAAATTTTGGAGGATTACAGATTACAATTACTACAATTAGTTAAAATATGAATGAAACAGCGCATGTGATACAGTAATTATCGCTGCACTGAGACTGCAATAAAATTAATTTTAAACTTTTAAAAATTCTGTACAGTAGATATTTTTATATGTATTCATTTCATTTGTATTATATATATTTTGTTTTATTATATATATATATATTCATTATTATTATATCATTGAAAATTACACATAATCATTATTATTAATGATAATGATCATGTAAAATTATCATACTATATCATTATGATTAATAATAATGATTATATGATATAACATATGTATTTCATTAATATTATATTTTAATATAATAATATTAAATGCATTATATTTCATTACTGAAAAACTTGTATATAATACATATACAATTTAATTTTAAATTACAAATTCAGACGATAAATTTTTATCACTTAAAATTTTACAATTTGTGATCCTCCAAAAAAAAAAATTAAATCAATGAAATTAAAGAATTTTTATATTTGTACATATCTGACTTCTGCTTGTTATTTACAATGCATCAAAAGCTGAGTGATTACTAAATGTGTTATTATTTTTTAGTAAATAATGTGAAATTTGGCAAAGAATATGTGAGAATAATTTGTAAAAGGAATATACATGTAACTTTTATACTAGCACATCACGTTATTTTATAAATTGAGATATGTATATACATATGGACAATATATTATCTTGTTATAAAATATTAGTTTATTGTAAATGTTTTGTACATACATGTACATACCGTATCATCAGGTATCTACACGTTAATTTATGCATAAATATTAGAAATAATCAATCCTCATGAATAAAAACAAAAATGTGATTAAGTATAATCCGTATATGAAATTTTAATTTGCAAACATTTGAGACTATAGCAAAAATATTTGATTACAGTCACTAGTCAAATGTATGCAAGTTTATATAAATTCTATTACATACAGATCGACATTATAATCTAATATGTTAGATAACAATGACCACGATACTTTCATATTCCTTTTTTTCATTAATCTCTTTCTCTAAGATCTAAAAGAATTATCGAGAGATTGTATTCTGTACATTTATATTTGTAACATTTATGTTTTATATTTCTATATGCCTATTTTATAACTGCCTAATAATGTTAACCGTTGTGTTACACGGTTTTATATTATTCTTATGTAACCACACACATTAGTGATAATTACATGAAGAATACAGATATGTTAAGAAATTATAGAATAGGCACAAGACGGACTACGTCAAAATTTTGGAGTTTGTAGCAAAGAATAAAATTATATTTTTTTTCAACATATTTATCATAATTCTGTAACCTTTGTCATTCTTCATTGCTGCAAATAATGCAATTGAAATCTCTTTCATTATTTGTTAATCAAGATAATTGATATATATATATGATGTTAAAACTATCAAGCATCAGAGTGAAAAGCGATACTAGATAACAGTCTTTGATTTATTCGGTATCGCTTTACATTAATAAATTATAATATTAAAAATAAAACCATGACTATATATATGTGTATATATATATATATATATAATATAAATTATCAATCAGTAAGTAAATCTTAAAGAATGTACACGAAGCTAATCCTAATCCGTTTCCGCCCATAACAATATTATGCCTATTGACACCGTTAGCTCGACCTTGGTGATTGATGCTGTTGGGTCTGCGATTTGTTACGATGCTCATAATTCACGAGCCTTTGCCCCACGAGATACTTGTCATTCTTAATATGCTCGTACAATTTTTTAAACTGACGTATCTGAAAGCAAATCAATGCGCAGACCAGATTTACTAAAAGAAGGAAAGGATATAGACGTCTGGCGATAAGGATCTGGGTCTGTAGATTAGTCACAAGAAGTGGAACTATTCCATAGGCCACGGCATAAGGAACCGCGAGAGCAAGGCCGAAACAACATATGACGGGGGCTGCTAATTCCTTGATGACAAACTTCAAATCCATTTCCCTTATTCCTTCGTTGTACGCTCGCTCTATAGCGAGACGTATTCGCCAATCCGGTCCCATCATCGTTACGGCGGTAGCTATCTTCGTATACAGTACGCCCAAGGCCCAATCTTGCCAAATGAATAAAATGGGATTTTGCTCTAACGGGACACGTAATGGAACTACCACTACTAATTCAAGAAGAAGACCGAATAGGAGCGGTATGACTCCGACGAGCAGCACGAACGCTACTGAAGCTTTCACGGCCAAGATCGCCCAGTGCTTGATCCGGTCTATGATGGCTCTTCGGCCACGAGGTAACCAGGAGAATGCCAATGCTAAGCCTCGAGCTGCGGCCCAACATACGTATGTCCCGCAGGCTATTGTGTATACTTCGTGTACTCTTCCGGATAAAGGACCTACAGTCTCGCCACCATCTAAAAGAAAAGTAAAAAATTGTAGTAATACAAATTTTCAAAAATGAATATTTAATATTAGACCGAATATTATATGAATACACAACTAAATACGAAAATGCTTATTCAAGTTAGGTAGATCTTAGGTGTTCATAATCTGTTTTCAAAACCATTTTGAGTAATGTCTTAAGATGCTAATATAGCTCTGTGATTACTTATGACAATCTTAAGACTATACTTAAGGTCTTAAATATAAGAACGGATTATGAATACCATCTCAATCAATTATGAATATTTCAGTAAATAATATTTCGTGAATTTTTATACACATCCAGGTTCAAAGTAATATTTTCTGATTAAAATAATATTTTCCGTAATAAATTTTTTTAGTTTTTTTAAAACAGTTTTTATTAGTACTAATTGGTTGTCAATTTTATTTGTGATATTACTATCACAGCTTCAGTTTAAGATTGCGTTTCAAGATAAAAAATGAAATCGGTGCACAGTTTATAAAACAGAGTATGAATATATATATATATATATATATATATATACGTAAATTCATATATGTATAAAAATTCACCAAAATAAGTACGAAAATGAATATTTTGCAAGATCCGCAATATTCTCTCTTAAAATGATTGCACGAAGCATTTTTATAAAAAGAAAAATGAATAACTTCGACTTACCAGATCCAGTTAATGTAGGCGGCAATACAGGCGGCGACGGAGCAGGTGCGCCTACCATCCACAACGCCATCACTCTACGTCCCAGCCACACGGGTAGTGTCATAGCGACTAAACTGGCGATCACGAGGGATATGCAAACGCAAAATAGAAGCCCGATCAATCTCGCGGGGAACCATCGCGGTCTGACATAAGGTTGAAATCCCGTGGGTCCCTCCCTCTGCAGTAGCGCTTGATGCGCAGCGCCCAAATCCGGATGTTGCGGTTCCTCGATTATTGCTGGTCCTGGATCATCCGCCTGATCTCGTAGAAGATACGATTGCAAATCCAACATCCACGCTACTACACGACACCATGCTCTTACTAGAGCTTTCAACCACGTACGCGTATGCGACTGCTCAAGTAATGCAGGAAGGATCACTTGCAACAAAAGTAGTTCCAACGAAAGCTCACTGACCTAGAATTTAGAGAACACAACTTATTTAATCACCACAGCAGGAAAGAGTAAAATAAACATATTGTTATTTATCTTACCTGAGCTTCGCTTTGTACAGTCACAGTGTAGGGTAAAAATCCCGGCCAAGCCCATCTCAGGATCTTCACGGGCAGCCACAACATCAATAAAATCGCTGTGCCGAATATAATTGCGGACGCGACTAATCGGCGTACGTGTCGCAATATGGGAAGATGTATCATTTCTTGTATAGGGGAAAAATCGGGATCGTTCAGATTTCGTAGAAACCAGAGAACTCCAGGCCGCAGGACCTCACGTAAGAGAAGAATAAACGAAGCGAAATAATATATATAAACCATTCCCACTAACCAATGGATAAACATGGATGTGCCAGGAGCGAGTCTGAACGAGGATTCTCTATCTCTGAGTGTAGCATCAAACATTGCCAATGAGCAAATGTCCAGCCACCAACCGCAAACTAATGGAAGTACGCCGATCTCCACGACAGAGAGTAAAGAGACTTTGACAATAACGTAGCAAAGTCCTAAGATTCGCTGGGAACGCT